CCGCTCACAGTGGAGTTGAATGTCGTAGCTCTGAGAGTGGGCTGGCCGTCAGAGCTCCGTTCAGAGTGTCGACAAGCTACCTTTTCCCCCATGCTATAATCAATTATCATTCATTCCTTCATAAAGAATCAAAAGCACTTTTAGATGTAATCGATGGACACACCCAAGATCGAAGGCCTACTATAAAGTACTATGACCCTTCCTCAAATACCTTTATCACCCTAATGTCATTTTGATCGCATGCGGTATGTATTTCTCCTGTTCGCAACACAATCATCTCAGGCACAGGTTTTAAAACCTCGTTACACTGTAAAAAAAAAGTTTAGCACCGTAGAGGTACTTTTCAATTGACTAATTTTCAGTACCCTAGCGGTGCTAAGCTAAGCATTTTATTCGTACTTAACTGAGATCTAGTTTAGTATCAAGGTGCTAATATAAGTACCCATATTTGTTTAGCACCCGTGTACTAAATGTAGTACCCTACACCTGCTAGACCAATTTTCAGTACCCTAGCGGTGCTAAACTTTAAAAGGTGCTAAGAATAACATGCAGTTAGTACCTTCCGTACTCACATATGAACCGTTTTAGCGCTATTGTTACCCCACGACAAGTAGAATAATGCTAACGAAAGCATTGGGGCTGAAAGTAGAATATCTATACTAGTTAAAGCTGCTGCATGAAAAGTTCGCAAAAACTGCTTTCTTTAGCAGCACATACTTTCACTAGTTACTGCAAAAAGGACTAATCAATTACCAAAAAGGAAATTGTGTAAGGCCGAAAAGACGTGCAAAAAAGGTTATATCCTAGATAAGTGATAACTACAAGTCTCAATGATTGTGTTTTGCATTCTGCAACAGGGGCGGATCCAAGGGGGGGGGGGTCACATGGGTCATGGCCCCCCCCCTTGAGGCCCGGGGCCCAAAGATCTGCCAGGGGCACCACCGGCCTATCAGGGGTATCACAGTCCTGACAGGGGCACCACAGGACCGCCAGGGGCACCACAGGCCTAGCAGGGACACCACGGGCCTGGTGCCCCTGGGCCCTGACAGGACTGTAACGCCCCTGACAAGCCTGAAGTGTCCCCGGCAGGCACGTGGTGCCCCTGACAGGCCTCAGGCGCCCCTGCAAGGCCGGTGGTGCCCCTGGCAGACCTGTGGTGTCCATGGCAGGCCTGTGGTGCCCTTGCTAGGCCTCTGGTGCCCCTGACAGGCTTGTAATGCCCCTGGAAGGACTGTGGTGCCCCTGGGCCCTGACAAGCCTGAGGTGCCCCTGACAGGCCAGTGGTGCCCTTGCTAGGCCTGTGGTGCCCCTGGCAGGCCTCTGGTGCCCCTGACAGGCTTGCGGTGCCCTTGGAAGGACTGTGGTGTCCCTGGGCCCTGACAAGCCTGAGGTGCCCCTGACAGGCCCGTGATGCCCTTGTTAGGCCTGTGGTGCCCCTGGCAGGCCTCTGGTGCCCTTGCTAGGCCGCTGGTGCCCCTGGCAGGCCTCTGGTGCCCCTGCGCCCGGAGAGGACTGGTGCCCCTGAAAAGTCTGAAGTGCCCCTCGGCAGGCCCGTGGTGCCCCTGACAGGCCTAAGGTGCCCCTGCAAGGCCGGTGGTGCCCCTGGCAGCCCTCTGGTGCCCCTGGCAGGCCTGTGGTGCCCCTGGCAGGTCTGTGGCGCCCCTGGCAGACCTGTGTTGACTGGTGCCCCTGCTAGGTCGCTGGTGCCCCTCACAGACCTGTGGTGCCCCTGGGCCTTGACAAGCCTGAGATGCCTGGCTATGACAGGCTCGTGGTGCCCCTGATAGACCAGTGGTGCCCCTGCTAGGCCGCTGGTGCCCCTCACAGGCCTGCGGTGTCCCTGGAAGGACTGTGGTGCCCCTGCCCCTAGGGGTGCTCATGGGCCCAACAGGCCCGTTGTGCCCCTGACAGGCCTGTAGTGTCCTTGCTAGGCCTGTGGTGCCCCTGCTTCCTGGCGGGCCTGTGGCGCCCCTACAAGGCCATAGGTGCCCCTGACAGGTTTGTGGTGTCCCTGGAAGGACTTTGGTGCCCCTGACAAGCCTGAAGTGTCAAGGACAGGCCCTTTAGACGCCAGTGTCAAGTTCGTCGGACTGACAACGATTTGCTTACCTGATAACGTTCCTGGTAAGTACTCACTACTCAGCGTCCACAACATATACATATACACATAGCACATTCATATATACTTGCTTACAATTGGTAAATGTGGTTGTGGCTAAGAGTTAAGATACTGAATAAAAATAAAAAATAAAAATAAAAAAACTGAAAATGGGGGCACCACCAAAATGAAGTGGACGAAATCCGTTGAGTTTTTAATTTTGGGTATAGGTAGGGGCACCACTTCGATTCATGACCCTCCCCTTGGAGTTTTCCTGGATCCGCCCCTGTTCTGCAATATTCCCGTGTAAGTGCATCTTTCAAGCATCCAACACATTATAAAATTAAAAAATAATAATGGAACATTTATTAACACTTCATATCATCTGCATGAAAAACAAATGTAAATATATACACAAACAAACGCACGGAAAATAACGAAAGGTCGCTCATATACCTGCACACTCGCAGTGACCGACGATTAACGCGAGATCGACTGGGGGAGGCGGGGGGGGGGGGGTCGTTGAACCGACGTTCCGTTCATGGCCATAAGTTCGACCTCATCCACGACCAGACGGCGTTTAGTGATAGACGGAACCGGAGACCCCGTGTTGTTGTCGTAGTTGTCCTCCATTGTAAGTGGTAGTCGACGGAAGAACTGACCAGGCCCCATGCCTGGAGCAAAAAAAAAAAACTGGATCAGTTCCAAGATTTTTTTTTTCTGTTGGGAGCTATTTTCGCAAACAACACAACTTTCCTTCAGACCAAGAAGCGCGATTTGCCAAAGTCGGAATATGAAGCACTTAAACAATATAAGATAATGTCAAAAGATACAACGTGTCAGACTCAGCAAAGTCGATCAACGTCGGTGTCGGTGGCATGTGTCGGTGGCAAATGCTCATGTACCACCCGGCCCCGGAGCACTTCACTTCACTTCACTGCACTGCTGCACTGCACTTCCCTCCACCTCACTGCCTCCCGGAGCAGGGGCACGCACTCCCATGCCACGCACGACGGATTCCACCGATAATAGCTGATTTAAGCTATCATTCCATGGCTATCACTCGGTGGCATGTGCCCGGAGCACTTCACTTCACAGTTCATTTCATTTCACTTCATATACCGGAGCACGTGCACACACTCCCACCACGACCAACGGACTCCACTAAAATGGCGCAACACGTGGCCGGAAACAGCTGGCACGCGCATGCGCATATCGCTCTGCGCCGTCAAAACGTGCTAAAGGGCTGGTGATAAGACTCCCAGAGATTTGTAAAGCAGGGCTTAGCTACTTTCTTTGGCGCCAATTTCAAATTTGTTTCCTCTGTAAGCATGTCCGGTTCTATTGTGATACTAACGTAAGCACCATATTCAGCAGTACCAACTTCTAAAACACTTAAAATGGTTCTAATTAGAAATCCAGCTTGAAAGAGCACTCACTGATGGACTGGGTACTAGCAGAAGTAGACGTTAAGCTCAGTAGAATAGGTGATCTAAACTTATAATATTTGATGGGAATGTTAGCTATCATTAGCACAGTATTAGCACCATGCTTCTTTGTAAATACGTCGTAGGGTTCTTTTGACGCTAAAAGGTGCTACGAATAGCAGCCGTTAGTACCCCAAATGCTAAACTTTTTTTTACAGTGTACTACAATGTCCTCTAAGCTGCTGGTCATGCGTCGGATGCTGCAGAGGAATGTTGAGTGAATTGAGCGGTGAGCCGGAGAGCCCCGCGGGGCTCTGAAGTTCATCTTCCATTCGATCACTGTCGTACGACCGGTTCCATTCATCATCGATCTGCTAATAGCTGAGAAAGCTCAGCCCACCACAGACAGGCTCCTGAGCTTCAATAGCAGTCTCATACGATCTGAATTCTGAGCATGACCCAAGGCTGCGACAGCTGCTGCACGGTTTGAGGTGGACCCAGTACGCCTCCTTGCGGCACACCGACCGGTGAGGAACGCGGAAGAAACCGCGTAAGGTCAGTCACGTGACCGGACGGTGGGTGAACCGGGCGGGTGATGCATGGGTCACGTGACACTAACGGGCCAGCAGGTGAAGGTGAGTGCACTGGTGATGACCGTTCGGTGGAACCAGTGAGGCAGGGCGGGGCTGTGGAATGTCGGAATGTCCAATGAGGATCAGATGGGCGCCACCTGCTCCAAGCTAAGAGGTCACACTTTATCTTTGACAAATGACATCGCCTCAACAGATGTTTGATGTTCAATAAGACTCATATGACAGCTCACGAAAACAATGATAAAGGCCACAGGGGACTAACCCGAGCGAATTCTTAGAGGCAGCCAGCTTGGAATGCCATCGCGATACGAAGTGGCTCCTTGAAAAGGAGGACTAAAATTGTTTTAAAAAATGGAAACACTTCTGTCGTTTTCTCCTTACCTTCCATCTCAGCATTTGTTGCGCCAGTCGCCACTGTTTGTGGGTGGTCGGAACCTCTCGTGCCGCCCCGTGTCTGTCGACGCGGCGTGCCTTTCCGCTCACGGCGTGATCCAGCACCGAAACGGGAGGCGGTCACATCACACACCCCACACCTTTTGTGGGCCACCTTAAAACCACGGCTTTGGACGTGCCGTATTCTGGTGCACGGCCCCATGCTTCAGCTTCAGCTATATGACTTGGCTGCTCGGGTCAACTCGGGAATGAACTTGTTTTGTGACCTCTGACACTATGGGCTTGTTTTGGCGTGGTTGAGTCTTTGACCTCACGTGCAAGTGGTATTGTACTTTGATGTTATCGTGACGACTATCATGTGCATCAGCTGTTGAACATTGTTTTGGCGAACTGCTGTGTTGTCCGCTGTGGTGGTCCGTTGGGCATTGTGCGCTGTGCACTCTGCAACTGTGCATTATTTACTAACTTTGCCTTCTCTTTTCGTTTCAGCGGTGCAGTGGCAGGAGCGGCGAGCGACCAACCAAAAGTTGTGACTCCGCCAGAGGAACATTCCTGTTGGCGATCAAGGACATGACTGTCATGCAGTCGAAAGCAGCGCTTGATGGCGAAGTGTGTTTGAGAAAGTCGTGGACTAAGGAGGTTTGAATGGTCCCTTGGTGAACGAACGTCTCACTGCTTCAATGTTTCTCTCTTTGTATTTATTTCATATTTATGCATTTATTAAAGTCGACCAAGTCACACATCAGGAACACTGAACATGAATGAAGACGTTGCATCAACGCAGTGCCTTCAACTTCTGGGTGACCGCAAGGCCTTACACGACTTTCATGTGAGAAGTGCTGTTGGAGAACATTGAAGAGTCTATTTCCTCCAACATAACTGTTCACAAATTCTCTACCCAACCCAGTGATCGTGTCATGCTTCATGAGGTGGCCTCATCTGACTCTGAGAGGCAGTGTTTTATCGTTAATTTGAATCAGAAACGTCACACTGGCTGAGAGCTGGCCGTCCGAGTGGCCGATGTCGGCCTCTCCTCCTGCATCGACCTCCTCCTCTGGGGACGCCATGCTGCTGGCTCTGTGGACTGACTGGCACGATGGCACCGTATCCATGGCAACCAACGATCAGCTGTCGCTCGAGTGGTCCATGCTGAATGAAAACTGCTACACCTGGGACGATAACGGTGAGTACCGTACCTACTGCATCAACAGTCAACAACACAGCCTACTTATGCAACACGTAATGCATTATCCCAAAAGTCGGCAGCCCCCACAACGTTTTGAGCCGGGGTCAAGACGCACACAAAACGAAGGCTAGCAAAATTGAAACAGCGGGTACTTGTCCCATGGAAAGCTATCAATGATCCATTAGCGATTACCCAGCTACCTACAACATTCAGCGCCTGCCCATCGATCATATTAATAAGAATTACACACTCGTCAGGGCAAGATTGCTTTTTATAGCTCTTGCAACGGAAATAAAATTCACGTTATTTTACCCGTGCGTTGTTGTTAAATGTGGATCACTTTATACTCTTTCGCATTTGCATGTCAAGGAACCCGTGCGTGTCAAACGGTCTCCACAGTCTCCAGTTCCACCTGACTCAGAATACTGACCCACACAAAGCGACAACGTCTCAGACCGATTCAATTCAAATGTCGGGGCGCCATGAGGTGTCCCGTTCTTTCTGTGGCACGCCAAGGTAACGTGCTGGGAACAATAGTCGGTGGGTCGGTGGGAGGGGAGGGGGGCTGGGGTAGAGTGGTGTGGGTCGAGGGAAGCAATGCTTTTGGGTCACATCACAAGGAAGGTCATTTCAGAAACGAGAGGTGACTTCTGAGGTCTGCTGAGTGCTGACGGTGGATGACCATGGGATAATGTATTTGTGGACGATGGACGATGGACGATGGACGATGGATGATGGACGATAGACGATAGACGATAGACTCGAGAACGGTGGACGATGAAACGGTGAACGGTGGACGGTGGATGTTGGACTAGTGACGGTGGACTGTGGACCTGTAGACGGGTGATGGACTGATGGACTGTGGACTACACTCAGTATTAGACTCATCATTAGATTGATGCGCCGGTGACGATAGAGCGGTGAAAGTGAAACGGTAGTGGTTGGTTTGCAGTGTCAACCGTACACTGTGCAGCATATCACGGCCACACATCACTGGAAGTCGCAGACGCTGATATGAAATATGAATTAATACAATTATATGAAGCGCGATATCAGATTGTTGGCTTCTACACGGTTAACTAAACCAAATTTGCTTCTCAGAAAGCGAAGCGAAAGGCACAAGCGAAGGCAATAACAGAACGGCTTACGTGTCGCCGGATGGGGGCGAAAGGGACAGTGGGAAGCCAAAAAGGAAGCCCGACGGCCGACTGGCCGTATCGACAAGAATGGGTAAAGGGAAGATACCAAACAACTTTTTCTGTATATGTGGTCAGTGACTGTTGAATTGCAATACTATAATAGACTGGCTCTACGCATAATGTAGGTATCATATGTATCTATTAAATATTTTTGCAATAGGTGTTTATTGACGAGGAAAATGTAATAAAGAAGGAATAAGATAGGTATATTCTGACCAGCACGTCATTAAAACGTAAGTGTGAACCCAGAAGAAAACTAAGCAGGCATTTACTGGATGGCAGGGCAATGAAATCAATGTTGAGACAAGTCGCTGACAGCTGTAGCCATTGTCCACAGCCCAGTGGCCATCTCACGATCTGTCCCACGGGTCTGCCTCACTCGCGAGTTTTTAGTCGCCCTCCCGTGCGGTCGGCGCCGGAACCCGGCACACTGCTAGCTCTCTGTGACTGCGCGTGACACTGCTGGCGCGTGATACGCGGCTCTTCCGTCGTGACTCGGAGCTGAGACGAACCGTGGCGCACCGTGACGAAAGCGCCACGACCTAACGACGAGACGGGTTTCTCCGAGAGTGTCAAAGGCTTGAGACGACAGTTACAGTGTTTGATTTTATCAGTGATACGGGTTGTTTAAATACCGGCGTGGTATCAAATTTTGAGCCACTCGTGTTGCATTGTTATTTCAATATTTCTTCAGAAGTTTTTTTAGGAGTGCATGAAGATGTTATACTTGCAAATAGGTACCTTTTATATAAAAAATAGGCTACTGGATCGACAACTGGAACCCACATTAGGTGGATCTGTTTCGCAGGCTCGGAACCCGACAGGCGGATCGGGCTGATAACGCTTTGCCTCCCATCACCTATCGGAAGTCCGATGCAGCCTGCGGGCGCTCTTCCAACTGTCGGCTGAGGTACGGGGTGTTCTTATCATTGTGGGGATCATGTACCCCATTCTTGACTGAGGGATTGGTCTATTTGCCACGCTATACCAAGGTTAAGCTGCTGAACCATCAAGTAGTTATCAATTGAGACTCGAGAAGGTCGAGTGGAGAAGGCCAGGTCGGGGTGTGAATGGAACAGTAGCGCCGCCCTCGGAGCACTCCGAGTTCTTGTGCTGCCACCTAGTGGATGATAGTGGTACTTGTCTCATTCACGCAAACCTAGTACTGGATAATGGATATCACCGGAACAGTAAGAGAGACATTCTTGAATGCTGATGAGCCATATAACGAATCAGTTCTGTCATAAAAATTCCATCGCACTAGCGTCATATAAGTTGCAGTCCTTCCGTTCTTCTGTCGATAAACTCGCACCAGGTCATGGGACCTAAAGGCGAGTTTTGCGTGTTATGCCTACCACTGAAAACACATAAAAACCCAGAAAGGTTTACTAGTACCCGTGGGGGTTACCCGCTGTGCCTGTGACCGACCTACGGTTACCTGTTCTTTGCACCTGAAATACCACGATGTCTATCTCCTGTAGAGTCAGACACAGACCTGCCGGTGGCGCTAGTGTGCGGTACCGGTAGGTCCGCCGGCTAAGGTGCGCTAACGTAGGTGGCGCTTTGAGCGCGGACCTCCACCAACAGAGCAGGTGAGCCAGGGCCGTGGCTGTGTGCCGTTGTCTCGCCGTGAGACCAGGTGTTCCACGGTTCCCAGACCGCTGGAGGCCACTGAACGCCGGGAGCGTGCCGCTCTTGGCGGCTGGACAATCATCGATCCACTCGTGACCTTCCCATGAGGCCGGCGGACGGTCGGCGACATTGAACCGAGCCGGGCGGGGCCGGCCGGCTCACCCCCAGTGAAAGTAGGTACCCCTGGCCGCCGCCCCCGCCGCCTCCCGCCCCGCCGCGCCGGCCGCGTTCAGCCAGTCGGCGCGCCTCGGTGGGCCGCGACGCACGTGACCGTCACGTCGGTCCCGGCGCTGCCGTCGGTACCGACAAAAGTGAGGTGACACGTGCGAGGGTACACCCGGAGCTCCACCGTCAAGGGCACCTGTTCGCACAGCTTCGGCACGCGCGTGCAGTTTTTGTGCTGGTTTATCAAGGTCGGTGCAAACCGCACCCGGGCGGTGTCCGTCCCACTTCTGGACGTGTGCGGTGGACGTGTGTGCAACATTTGACGCCATTGTGCCCGCCCGGCGCAGCGCGAGTGGTGTACCGGAGGGAACTGTGCTGGGACCTGTGTTCTAACCATGGCTCTGGCGGGTGGTTTAACCAGCGCGGTAGTGGGTACCGAGCCAGGGCTGCTGCCTGGTGGGACGAGGATGGTGTCCGAGGCGGAGGGATCCGGGGAACCCAGCTGTGTGCACCTCTGCGAGCAGGGCACCTGCGTCATGCATGGTGAGTAGACACACGGTCGCCAGTCCGCTTGTCATGATATTCTCTGAGTTTGTCAGAGCCGAAGATTGTCCGTAGAGGGTGCACTGCAGTGTACTGAGCCCTCTTCTGCGATGCCGTATACCTACCGAGCGATTTCCATTCAATGCAGATTGCAAGTTGCATTAGTCGTTTCAGTCGTGGTAGCTATAACTAGTCGCCCCAGTTCAGGTAGCTTGTGTTAGTCCCCCCAGTGCACGTAGCTTGCTTCCAGTTGAGGTAGATTGCACTTGTCGCCCCAGTCGGGTCCGTCTGAGCTCCGAGCCTAGGAATAAACCATGCCGAGCGACCGCGCGGTCCGTCAGATCACTCATCACTATACATCCTCTCGGCGTACCAAAAAGGCGGATGACGTAGACAAGATGGCATGCAGTCGGAGCTCTGTGCTTATCGGGTATGGAAATTCTACATTTCGTGTAACTCCGGGCAACGTTTGCGAAAGACAACGTGGCAGGGAGCCTGCAACCGCAGCCGCAGCTGAATAATGTATGAGAGTTGAATCATTTGTTGAGGACACCACCCAGCTAGAAAGCTCCTTGAACGATGCAAAACATCGCGGCAATTAATGAATAAACGACCCTTAAACCTTCTTAACTTCCGCCATGCTACTGGTTTTCTCCTAGACGATAAGTTTTCCATTTTACTTGTACAGACTGAGGATTGTTTGGCACGGCAGTGCATCTTATATGCACCAGTTGGCGGGCGGCAGTTGGCACTGGATCAGTGGTATTCTGGTGCTGTTATTAAACGGGCTTCCTGCAGGTGCGCCGAGGCCGGCAACAGTTGATGGTATGCTACCCCATTCGGTCGATATGGCTTCGGGCTTCCATGAGACCATAGTTGCTTTCCGGTCGAACCAGCTACCTACATACTGGGCTGTGTAGGAAGGTTGGGATGATCTGGAGGTTATTGTTTCGTCTGGAAATAACTCATGAGGCAATAGTCCTCATGAGGCGGTGCATGACAATATAATGAAGAGCGTCTTGTGTCCGTCAGCATGCTAATTGCCCATCCCCAATTTATATCATTGGATGATCAATCCATACCTTCTTAATAATCTTCGTATCACATCTGCCTAATTCTTGCCATACCTTTTCCTTCGGAATTTTATCCAAGACAATAGTTTTGATCGTTTTGAGCAGCTGTGATATCTAACCGGCTTATTATCAATCTTACATGGATAGTATGTTGATATCACATGGTGCGACTCATCGTCTCGCATCGTCGTAGCATGTTCAGCTTATCACCCCTCTGATATGAGATGATGCGATGTCACATGCAGTGTAGGTTATTCATAAATCGGTAGACAGCTACGTTATAGCCGAATGCTGAGTAATGGAACCCGATCGCTCACCTAACCCAGCCACGCAAGGTTCACATCTCACCCTACCCTGCCGTGGTGGGACGAGTTGCATCACCGCT